AGCCTGGATTTACAGAGGAACCTCAGGAGAGCTGAAGTGGTTGCTGAGGCCATGAGGTGAGTCATTGTTTACACAAGGATTCACTCACACCAACTGGGCTCCAACAGCCAAAGTTTTCCAACTCTGCTACCCTGCTTTACATGCAATAGCAGAGAACATGTCATCTAAGCACTGTTCATATAACATTTTACTGTGACCTCCCCAAACCCATCAAGTTAGTTACTATTGTGTACCCTCTTTTATAGATGAGGAAATTGAGGCACAGAGAGGTTAAGTAACTTGCCCAAAGTCACACAGTTATTAAATTAGTGGAGCCACAATCCTAACTAGGACAACCAACTCATCTTGATCTGTTACACAGATCCTAAAAGGCAACAATTAATGTATTTGAACATTTATGTGCCAGGCACCATGTTACATGCTTGACTGACAGAGCTCACTGAATTCTCACAAGCAACAATTTGTAATGAAGAATGGGAGTCTCAGATCAGGCAACTTTCCCATGACTATAAAGCTGCTAGGTGGGAGTTAGGACTCAAATCCAGGTGTGTCCGCCACCAAAGCCCAGGCTATTAACCCGTGAGTTAAACTGTCAAAGCAGTTTGCAACAGTTACAATAAACGAATTTAGGCCTCTATAGAAGTGTTTTCTCTTTCACAAAATGAGTAAGATTTGATGATCTTTAATCTGGATTATGTCCATATCTAAAATTCTATGACCCCACTAACTCAACTGAGTATCACTGGGCCTATTTTCAGAAGCCTCCACAGAGTTTTGATGGTGTGATTGCTCTGTGCATCTAAACCCTCTGTAACTTCACCTCCCCACCTTTCAAAGAGGAACTGACACGTGGAGCCATTTCCAGGGTTCACTCATTTCAACATGGAATTCCCAGATCCCATCATCCCACAGCAAAGGAACCTCAAACCTGGCGTCGTCCAGGAAGGATTCCAAATGTCTGCCCTTGCCTTGTACAGGGTGATGTTCGAAGCATGTGGAAAGTGCAGCGTGGCCACAAACAGGTGGACATAGTCACTCTTCAGACCACCCTCATAAATATTCTCTGCGATGATCTTGCTGACAAAATTTTTGCCAGTGCCTGTCCACCCATGTAGGGAGAGGGTGAGAGGTTTCTTGGGCTTCGGGTTGTTTATGAAACCAGACACAGCATTTAAGATGATTTTCTTTGCAAGATGCTGTCCAAAGAGCTTCCTGTCCAGATCCTTCTGCAGCGCTGGGAAAGACAAAGCCAGTCAGGAGAGAAAAGAAACAGCTGGCAAAACTTAGCCACATTTACAGGCCCTTGGGAAAACCAGCAAAACCAAGTAAGCCCTCTTCATGCACCTTGTGAAACGCTGGGGTGTGGTGGGCTGTAAGCACTTGGCCCAAAGGGGAACCCTGGTCCAGGGAGGCCTCCCTTTGCTGGTCCCGCCTGTTCTAAAACCCTGCCCCTTGCCCGGATCCTGAAAAGGTCCCAGGCTCCACGGCAGCAGCCTGCAGTTTGCACCCCGAACCCCTGCGTGGCTCCTCCCACCCCAAGGCAGGGCAGGGACAGGGCGCATCTTGACCACCTCCGCTCTGCTCCGGAAGGGTCCCCACCATCCTTCCTGTCTCCAGCTAGGAAGGTGCCTGAGCTGTCTCCAGAGGAAGTTTAGAACCGGCCCCCTCCCCGTTCTGCGTGGAGAAGCCCAACCTGCAGCTCGTCTCCCCAGGCCTCCGACCAAAGTCCGGCCTGTGTGCGCTCGTGGCCAAGAAGCCAGGCCTCATCCAGCAGCCCCAGCCGCTCGGCTTCCTGGGTCCGGCTCCCTCCGGGCGGGGCTCTGCCCAGCCCGGCGCTCCTGGGACCTCGCTCCCCACCCCAGCCCGGCCCTCCTGCCAGCCCCTGCCCCAGCCCCAACCTACCCTCCCGGCTGAGGCTCGGCTTCTGGCTGCAGCACTCGGTGAAGAGGCAGAAGAGGCGCGGGTAGATGTAGCCGTAGCCGGTGAGGACGCCGGCCAGGGCCAGGCCCAGGCTGATGGGCTCCACCGCCCGCACCACCAAAGGCGCCAGCAGCAGCAGGCCCAGCACGGCCCGGCCCAGCTTCATGCCCGGAACCGCGCCACCCTGCGCGCTCTCGCGCTCACCGCGCACCCGCGCTATCCCCAGGCTCGCGCTTCCGGTTCCTTCCGTCACGGAGGCCATCTTTGTTTAGGGCCGGTCATTGTTAAACGTCAGAGGCCGCCATCTTTGTTCCTGGCAGAGCCCTTTCCAGATTGTCAGTTCTCAGAAGCCCTGTTGGCCACGGGTTTTTGTTTTTTTTTTTTAATAATAGTTTTTTTAAAGAAGAGTTTTGGATTTACAGAAAATTTGAGAATAGTACAGACAGTTCCTGTATACCACCCCCCCCTCCGCACGGTTTCCCCATTACTAAAATCTTATTATACATTAGTATGCTACATTTGTTAAAATTAATGGAACACTGTTGCTATATCATTATTAACTAAAGTGCATAGTTTATTCAGATTTCCTTACTTAATGTCATTTTCTGCTCCAGGTTTCCATCCAGGATACCGCATTACATTTAGTTGTCATGTCTCTTTAGACGACTCTAGATTGTGACAGGTTCTCAGACTTTTTTTATTTTTCATGACTTGGATAGTTTGAGGAGTACTGGTCAAATCTTTTACAGGATGCCCCTCTATTGGATCTGGTTTGGCATTTTTCTCAGGATTAGACTAGGACTATGGGTTTTTGGAGGGACGATCACAGAGGGAAAGTGCTGTTTTACCAAGTGTAGGCATTATCAACATGACTTAGCACTGCCAATGTTTACCTTGGTCACTGGACTGAAGTAGTATTTGTCACCTTTCTCCACTATAAAGTTACTCTTTTCCCCACCCCTCTTTTCCATACTGTACTCTTATTTGTCTCTTCTCCTCCATTTATATTTATTTATTAAACCATTTATATCAGTATGGATCCATGGTTATTTACTTTATACTTGGGTAATAATCCAATACTACTATTTTTTTAAAAAAATTCATCGCGGTTACCCTTGCATGTTGTGGAGGGGGACCTAATAAATATGTGCTGAAATATTCTGGAAACATTTTTAACGCTCTACTTTTTCACATTGTGTATTAAAAGAGCTTTACACAGCTATTACAAGCCAAATGCTGCATATAGGGACATCCATTCATCCACAGCTTTGAGGGTTGCATATGTGTCGTTACGTGCTATGGCCTGGGGACTCAAAGAAAAATCGAGGTGCACCTGGTTCTTGCCTTCACTGAGCTTACATTCTAGTAAAATGTAAGCTTACACTCTGCGCATCTAGAAACAAAGATATTTCATTTTACAGATGAGAAAACTGAGGTTAAGAAGAAAAGGGATTCGTCCAAGTATACAGTTGTGAGCAAGACTCAGACGTGACTTCAGAGCCAATCCTCTCTAACCACAATACCTGCTGTAAGTCAGCCCAGAAGTGAAACGACCTGCTCTTTCCTCATCCCAGCCCATGTGAATGCCTCAGGAAAAATGACTTGGACTTGACAGCCAGCAGGTTGGAGCATGTCTATGACTTTTGAACTTAATGAGAAAAGCTCTTTCAGTAATTCAGTTTTACATTTGAGCTAACCAAACTCTGGGCTTTGAAAACATCATCTGATGTTGGTATAAGGAAACACAATACAAACACTAAGGTTCGATTCATCTCATATTTAATAATTAAATTCTACAGGTGGTAAGAAATATAGCATTTGCTTACTTTTTTAAACAGGTAACTTCGCCAGGCATAGTGGCTCACGCCTGTAATCCTAGCACTCTGGGAGGCCAAGGCAGGTGGATCGTTTGAACTCAGGAGTTTGAGACCAGCCTGAGCAAGAGCGAGACCCTGTCTCTACCAAAAATAGAAAAAATTAGCCGGGCATGGTGGTGCATGCCTGTAGTCCCAGCTACTCGGGAGGCTGAGGCAGAAGCATTGCTTGAGCCCAGGAGTCTGAGGTTGCTGTGAGCTAGGCTGACGCCATGGCAGTCTAGCTGGAGCAACAAAGTGAGACTGTCTCAAAAAAATAAAAAGAAAAAAAAAGAAACAGGTAACTGTGTAAAAATCAGAAAAAACCAGTATCCCATTGATCCCATACTAGATGTGTTTTTGGCATCAGCTGGACCCACCCTAAATAATCAAGGATGCATTTTTTTTTTCAAATGCCTGTCTGAAATTTTTTTTTTTGAGATAGAGTCTTACTCTGTTGTCCGGGCTAGAGTGCTGTGGCATCAGCCTAGCTCACGGCAACCTCAAACTCCTGAGCTCAAACAATCCTTCTGCCTCAGCCTCCTGAGTACCTGGGACTACAGACATGCACCATCATGCCCGGCTAATTTTTTCTATATATTTTTAGTTGGCCAATTAATTTCTTTCTATTTTAGGCCAGGCGCAGTGGCTCATGCCTATAATTCTAGCACTCTGGGAGGCCAAGGCGGGAGGATTACTCGAGGTCAGGAGTTCGAAACCAGCCTGAGCAAGAGTGAGACCCCGTCTCTACTATAAATAGAAAGAAATATAGAAAAAAAAATTAGCCGGGCATGGTGGTGCATGCCTGTAGTCCCAGCTACTCAGGAGGCTGAGGCAGCAGGATCGCTTGAGCCCAGGAGTTTGAGGTCGCTGTGAGTTAGGCTGACGCCATGGCACTCACTCTAGCCTGGGCAACAAAACAAGACTCTGTCTCAAAAAAAAAATTCTTCCTATTTTTAGTAGAGATGGGGTCTCGCTCTTGCTCAGGCTGGTTTCGAACTCCCGACCTTGAGTGATCCGCCTGCCTAGGCCTCCCAGAATGCTAGGATTACAGGTGTGAGCCACCATGCCTGGCCAACGATGCATTTTTGACCCCCATTTCAAATATGCGAAAGTGAAAGACATGATTGTATATATAATAAGAAAAGCACTATCTAAAGGGTATTATCACACTATGTACACATAGTTGTTTCCTCCTAACTCAGAATATTAAGAGAAAAATCAACATATTTACAAACAAGTTTTAATAATTCTCGCCATACACTTTGCCCCCAAATAGGAAAACTACACACTGTTTTGTTTAAAAGTTACAAATTTAGTGCTTGGGAAATCCAGCAGGTAAGCAGCCAGACCAATTAGAGTCTGTTTTTGGAACTGCCTGGTAGCAAATGAGCAGGCTTCTGTCCAGGAAGCCTTTCCTGAAAGGGAGGGAGACAAAGGCGCTATTTACATCCCAGTCTGCATGTCTCAGTACCGCCTGTTCATCTTCTTGAACTTTTCATAGTGATAGTCGTCAGTGGCCTTCTCATTAGCAGGGCGCTTGCGGTTAGGAGGGGACCCTGAGAAAGAAAAGAACAGCAAAGGCTGTTGGCCTGCTGGAACCCACCGCTAGCCTCTACTGCACTCAGGCAAGGACCATCCCTATCTTGTTTCCCATAGGACCCCTGTGCCCAACCCAGTGCACAAGAACACAGTACGGCCTCAGTAAATACCTCTTATTTATGAGTAACTTTAAATTTATTTCTGTTTATTGAAAACTTTTAACTTCTTGGGTCTCTGCTGTGTTTGATAGCCCAGTGGATCCTCAGGGCAACCCCAAGAGGTAGGTTCTATTACTATCCCCCATTTTATAGATGAAGAAACTAAGGCTTGGAAAGGGAAGGCACACGGTCAGGGTCTAGAGCTTGGCCTAGAACCCAGATGTCCTGACTTCAAAGCTCAAGCTCCACCCTGCCCAGCCCGAGCCTGCCTCCATGGGCCCCAGAGCACTGACCACTCTGGGCAGCCCGGAAGCCTCAGGCATACTCACGCTCAGGCTCTGGCTTCTCTGTGTCACCCACTCGCAAAGGTCGGGCTTTGGGCTCTTCTTTGTTTCTCCGTATGGGAGCGTTGAGCTCCTCATGATAAACTAGATCAAGAGAGACCAGAGGACACATCAGACAGAATATGGGGTTCCTGGGGACCTCAATCCAAACAGGGGAAGAAGGGTGGGGCTGCATTCCTGAGACACTTACAGCGGTTGTGCTGCACGTAGTTCACTGCCATGTTGGTGGGCACAAAGGATGTCTCGCTGTCTTTCTTCTTGTTTTGCTGCTCCGCCAGCAGACGGGCCTTGGCATCCTCCGTGGAAATGATATTTTTTATTTTAGCACTATGAGGAGAAAGAAACCACACCACATATTAGGTCACAGCATCTTTAGTACTCACATGGAACTGAGTGGTGAGGCTGACAGCCCACCGCTGCATAAGGAAAGCATCTGTCCTAAGGCACAGCTCTCTGCAATTTACCAAGCACCCTTGGAGTTGCATTCTTAAGGCACTCTCATAGCCATTTAAGAACTGGAGTTTTTTTCCTCTCCTGATCAAGAGGAAATGAAGCCTCAGAGAAGTAAAGGGAACTGTCTAAGGCTTTTTTTTTTTTGAGACAGAGTCTTACTCTGCTGCCTGGGCTAGCGTCAGCCTAGCTTACAGCAACCTCAAACTCCTGGGCTCAAACGATCCTTCTGCCTCCCAAGTAGCTGGGACTACAGCATGCACCACCATGTCTGGCTAATTTTTTTCTATATATCTTTAGTTGGCCAATTCATTTCTTTCTATTTTTAGTAGAGACAGGGTCTCGCTCTTGGTCAGGCTGGCCTCGAACTCCTGACCTTGAGCAATCCACCTGCTGGGTCTCCTAGAGTGCTAGGATTACAGGCGTGAGCCACCACACCCGGCCGTAAAGCTTAAAGCTAGTGAGAAAAGAGGGAACCCAGAAGTCTCCCAACTTTCTACTGTACCCAAAGATGATTCTAACCATAGTATTTCTCACATGACAACCCCCTTTACAGATGTTTTGTAGTTAAATGAAAGGAAGATCATGCGGGGAGGGATGGGTGAGCCTTTAACATGACTCCTGCTAGAAGAAAACAGAATAAAGGGCCTGATTAGAATAACTAAACACCTGTGAACAAAGGCTAAAGAGACAGTTTTGCTCTCAGTGGTCAGGGTCCCCTAAGTCTCTTCAACTCCTCTGACCGAGCTTTCAGAGTAACTCCTGGCGACAGTCTGCCAGAGAGTCTAGTTTTTATTTGTAGGTTCCCAAGGACACAGGTAAGAAACCATGTCTCCATAGCTTTTAACTGGAAAGCAGAGAGCTCTTCCTTCTTCCTGGGGGGTCTGAAACATACTCAATGCCGAGGTCCACCTCAGGGATGCCACTCAGCATCTGGTTGGAAAGCATCTCCTCAGTCTTCTTTGCCGAGGAAACACGAATGTTTTCTGGAAGTTCATAAAGACAGTCCTCTGCATTCTTCGGCTTGACTTTCTGCTCCTCATGTTCCACGATCCCTTTCCTCTTCTTTAGCTCTGTCTCGATGTACTTCATCCTGAAATAAGAAACCCGCAGGTCTCAGAGAGGAACAGGAAGCTCACAAATTAGCTCTTCTAAATTAGTGGTCCCCACACTAGCCCATAGACAGGTGACAGTCCATGGAGAAATGAGAAAAATAAAAACAACTTAAGTTTTTTCATTAAGTTAGAAATTTTCAATTTAAAACACCAACATACATTATAAGATTATGTCCTACTAATCTATTGGTGTTATCACATATAAGCTTCTTTGAAAACAGAAAGATGGTAGGTTTTTTTTTTTGAGACAGAGTCTTGCTTTGTTGCCTAGACTAGAGTGAATGCCGTGGCGTCAGCTTGGCTCACAGCAACCTCAAACTCCTGGGCTGAAGCAATCCTGCTGTCTCAGCCTCCCGAGTAGCTGGGACTACAGACATGCGCCACCATGCCCGGCTAAATTTTTCTATATCTATCAGTTGGCCAATTAATTTCTTTCTATTTATAGTAGAGATGGGGTCTTGCTCTTGCTGAGGCTGGTTTCGAACTCCTGACCTCAAGCAATCCTCCCTCCTCGGACTCCCAGAGTGCTAGGATTCTAGGTGTGAGCCACTGCGCCCGGCCGGTTTTTTGGTTTTTTTTTTTTTTTTTGAGACAGAGTCTCACTTTGTTGCCCGAGCTAGAGTACTGTAGCATCAGCCTAGCTCACAGCAACCTCAAACTCCTGGGCTCAAACAATCCTTCTGCCTCAGCCTCTTGAGTAGCTGGGACTACAGGCATGTGCCACCATGCCTGGCTAAATTTTTCTATTTTTGGTAGAGACGGGGTCTCGCTCTTGCTCAGGCTAGTCTTGAACTCCTGAGCTCAAACTATCTGCCTGCCTCAGCCTCCCGGAGTGCTAGGATTATAGGCGTAAGCCACTAAGCGATGGTAGTTGTTTAACAGCCTTGTTGGCACAATAACAAGTGGGCAAGTCCATGTTTACTCCTGCAATGTTTGGGGAAATATTACTAGCCATGGAATCTAAAATCCCAAGAACTACTCTTTTAAAAAACTTAAAAAATGTTGCCCAGGCTGGTCTTGGACTCCTGGGCTCAGGCAATCCTCCCACCTCAGCCTCCTAAAGGGCTGGGATTATAGGTGTGAACCACCATGCTTGGCCCCTTTTTAAGAACTTTTAGGAGGTTTTCAAAGTTCTCAGGTGTGGGAGGAATGGAGAGAGGGACCAACTTTGACACCTTTTAGAAAATTCTAGAAATGTCATCTGTGACTAAATATCTTAGACCTATCTGATGAGCCCAGCTCCAATCACTCACAAACAGACAGACTGACACTTACATGTCTGCATCCTCATCCCTTCGGTTGGTTTCTGCAGAAAATGAAGTCCCCAGGTGAAGGTCTTCCTCTTCGCTGATCCTGAAGGGAGAGAATGAGGCAGAGCTTTCAATTCACAACTCAATGAGGCTGAGTTTTATTTTCTAAGGAAAAAACAAGGACACAACCAAAAATTATAATATGCTGTTTATGGCTGGGAGAAAATATATGATATGGTATGATATGTAAATAGAAGCAGCTCTAGTAATGTATGCAAGCAAACTGTTGGCCTCCCCTGATACTTCTGAGGAATGAGTGGACACAGCTGTCTCTTGGTATCTGTTCTAGAACTCCTAGAGGAAGCCAAAATCTGTGGATAGTCAAGTTCCTTTTATAAACTGGTGCAATATTTGCATATAACCTATGTAAACATTTAAATCATCTCCAGGTTACCTATAATACCTAATAAAATGTAAATGTTATGTAAGTAACTGTTACACAGTACTCTTTAATTTGTATTATTTTTTTACTGTTGTATTGTTGTTTTTATTTTTTCTGAATATTTTCAATTTTCATTTGGTTGAATCCACAAATGAAGTACCAGTGGAGATGGAGGACTGACTGTACTTTTATTTGTTAAACTTTGTAATTGTGTTTTTATACAAAACTTACACGTGGGGTTGTAAGACAATAAACAATGTACTTTTACAGACAGAGTCTTTCTACTCAGCTCTAAGCTAAATTTTAAAGAGTTTTTGTCTTTTGTTTTTCAGTAAGATGCTCTTTGCAAAACACAAAGGCTACTTCAAGATGGCCCATGAACGCTGCTGCTGCAGGCCCAGCTCTCGGAGGGCAAACAGACCCAGGCAGGGACAAGGTGAGTATTCGTCTCACCCTGTTCTGCACTTACTTATCTTTGCCCCTTTCCTTCAGTTTCTTCATATCCACCATACCACCTGTCTTCATTTGAAAGGGATCATCCTGCAGAAAACAAACACAGCTTAGAGGAAGTATCTATATAAATGGCAGTGGAATTTTTTTAGCACAATCACCCAACTGAAAAGTAGCCACAGGAAGGACTTCCATAATTGCCAGAGAAGACTTCGTCACTTACCACTAGCGTGGTCTCTTCTTGTACCTTCTCTCCCACCAGCAGGGCCACAGCACTAAGCAAAACCGAACAAAAAGGAGTGAGAGAGAAAAATGGCACAACTCAGAGAGGTGGGGAACACTCAGGAGGTTTGTAGGTTGCATCATTTGTGCAAGGTGGGACATTAGAGGTAAGCAAGAAGCCAGCTGGAAAAGCCCAGAAGAATAAAATGGGGCTCAACAAGCACTGCAGATGTTGGGGTGGGGGACACAATGGCAGTGAGTGAAGTGCTACATTTTCCTGCAAAGCCATTTGGCATTATCTTAGCCTAGAAATCTTTTTTTTTTTTTTTTTTTTTGAGACAGAGTCTCACTTTGTTGCCCAGGCTAGAGTGAGTGTCATGGTGTCAGCCTAGCTCACAGCAACCTCAAACTCCTGGGCTCAAGTCATCCTACTGCCTCAGCCTCCTGAATAGCTGGGACTACAGGCATGCACCACTATGCCCAGCTAATTTTTTCTATATGTATTAGTTGGCCAATTAATTTCTTTCTATTTATAGTAGAGACAGGGTCTTGCTCTCGCTTAGGCTGGTTTTGAACTCCTGACCTCGAGCAATCCCGCCCGTCTCGGCCTCCCAGAGTGCTAAGATTACAGGCGTGAGCCACCACGCCCAGCCTAGAAATCTCATTTCTAAGAGTTTACCATCAGGGAAAATGCGGCTAAAGACAAATGTAAGAGAATACCTACTGTAGCCTTATTTGATGGTGAAAATTTACAAACTGACCTACATGTCCCCAAATGGGGAATTTGTTAACAAATTATGGTGTATACATCTAGTGGAATAGTATTAAAAAGGCCATATGGCTGGGCACAGGGGCTCACGCCTGTAATCCTAGCACTCTGGGAGGCTGAGATGGGCTGATTGCTCGAGGTCAGGAGTTTGAAACCAGCCTGAGCAAGAGCAAGACCCCGACTCTACTATAAATAAAAATAAATTAATTGGCCAACTAATATATATAGAAAAAAATTAGCTGGGCATGGTGGCACATGCCTGTAGTCCCAGCTACTCGGGAGGCTGAGGCAGCAGGATTGCTTGAGCCCAGGAGTTGAGGTTGCTGTGAGCTAGACTGACACCACGGCACTCACTCTAGCCTGGGCAACAAAGCGAGACTCTCTCTCAAAAAAAAAAAAAAAAAAAAAAAAGGCCATCATTATTCTGTCATCCTTGTGAGATAGAAAAAAGGGGAAATTTTTGAAAAATATTTCACAATCTGGGTGAATGCTCACAATATCATAATGAGTTGAGAATAGCAGGGAATATAAGTATATATAAAGTTTCTCACAATACAAAGTTGCTACAACAAAGAATGAGAGAGAGGGGAAACAAATTGGAAAGAATATTAAATGTTAGCACTGGTTATCTCGGGGATGACAGAATTATGGGTGCTGTTTATTTTCTTGATTATACCTTTCTAAAATTTTCAAACTCTTAAAGATCAACGTGCATTTCACAATCGGATGCAATAACAACATGAGATAGTGACCTGTTTCTGTACCCTTGGAGCACACCCACCCCAAAACCACACAGCTCAGGGCATGTCCTGGTTAAACATCCGTAAAGAACGCTGGTTCCCTCTTCAGGCAGTAGAAGGTGTATGGTGTGTCAACAGAAGAGGCTATGTCTGTGGAAGTATGTGTGACAGCTACCCGGGCGGGGGTGTGTCCGTCATCCCCGCTTCCTCCTCCCCCTTCCCCTGTCCCCGCAGTACCCACCTCACCCCGTTGGGCCTTTTCCTCAAGTTTTGCACCTCTCTGGTCTCTTCTAGTTTTAATCTAAAAAGAAAATGGCAATGCACAAGCTAAGAGACCCTCCGCGGAACCCAGAGCCAAAAGGCAGCTTTGAGGGCATCCCTGCCCCTCACGCTGCTGAGCTGCCAGAACAGTGGTCCAGAGGGCGAGCCTTCGCCTAGACCCACCGGGAGTCAGATCCACTGCGCATCCCGGGGGCATCTCTACCAACCCTGCGGCCTCGGGGCGGCGGCCTCATCCCCCAGAAGTCTCAATTTCTTTGTCCGCAGAAGGGACAACAACCCTGGCTCACACTTAATAATAATGTCAGCAAGGGACCTGGGGGCTAGTGAGTGCCCCAACCCAGTCTCTCTCTTCGTGGCCTCTGGAAACCCTGCCCCAAACGCACCGAACCTCCTCTGAGTCCTGCTCATCTTCCTCCGACTCCGAGTCGGCTCGGCGCCGACGGAAAGTCTTCCCGGTGACCGGCATGGTGGCGCAGGTCCCGCAGCCCCGGCCGCCACTCCGCCGCGCTGTGGCCAGGATTGCTTCCGGCGCGCCGCAGTGCTGTCAGAGCGCCAGTCCCGCCTTGCCCCGCCCCACGCCCGCCCAGTCCCTCCCCTCAAACGAACTGCCCGCGTGGCCACGCCCTCCGCTCCCATGACGTAGGCGTCTCCTGATTGGACGGCCGAGGGGAGGAGGCGGGGCGCGATGGCCAGATCCCACAGTCCTGCGCTGCGCAGCGGAGGGTGCGATTGAATGACTGGCGGCGGAGGCGCGGCTGCGACGGCAGGTGAGTTCGGGGCCGCAGCCGGCTGCTTCTGGGGGCCGGGCCTTTCAGGGCAGGGATGACCCCAGCCCAACTGCGAGCTGGCGGGGCCTGGCTCTGCTAGGTGCTCTGAACGTCGCGGCCAGGTGAGCGGAGCTGGGGACCCCCTGGCCGCCGCCCGTATCCCCTCCTCCAGTCGGCGCCCAAGGGGCCTCTGGGGCCCCGGAACCCCACTTCGAGCTTCTTGGGGCCTTGCGGTTTCTCCGGAACAGAGGCCGCCCATCGTTTTCATTTCTGCCGGGCCTGTCCCAGCGTGGGAAGCATGCGTGTGGCGTCTCCCGGCGCTGACTTTTATCTCCTCAAGCTTCTCAGCCGTGACGTGCATTTTTCCTTCAGGAACAAAAGATGACCACTTCTTTACGGTGGCGAATTAAAGTCGCAACGCCGACTGCCCCGCAAATAATGGCTTCCAGCTTCTTCCCTAGGAGAGGCCTCCTCTGATGTTTTGAAGCCACTCAGGAGGGTTTGAGGCCGGAGGGCTCCTCCTCGGTGCTTGCCGGCCGCCTCCCTGGACCTTCACGGGTCTTGTTTTCCTCTGTCAGGAGCACCGTCGCTCTGCCCTCCGCACCTTCCACCCCAAAGATGCTGTGAGCATAAAGTTTATTTGAAAAACCGGTATCATCAAACGTTTAGGAAATAATTAAATGCATAAATAGTGGCTCATAGGACTTTTAGGAACCCCTTAAATAATAGCAGTTTTCCTTTTCTTAATATGGGCCGGCCCTTTACTTTCAAAATAACTACCTCTTATTAAGAACTGACTATGTAGCAGGCACTGTGCTAAGCATTATTTCATTGGATTCTCCCAACAATCCTAGGAGGCAGATTTAGTTTCTCATTTTACAAATGAGGATGCGGAGGCTCAGAGGGGCATATGCGTCTCCAGTTTCACAGCTAGAAGTGGGAGCAGGGATCAGTCACAGCTCTGTCTGTGCTGCATGGTTAGCACAGGACCTGGCACAGTAGGAGTTCAGTAAATGTTTGCTGCTGCAGCCACTATTATAGCTCTTTGGCCTGGGGGAGTGGCTGATGGAAGACAGTTTTTGGTTTCCTCTTCTGGAAGACCATTCTGAAGCAGGGCAGCATTTCTGGAATGCCTCTCTGGAACAGTCACCTCTGAGATTGTTGTTCTCTCAGAACAGCCTTTTGTCTTTGGTCAAAAGCCATATATTAAAAGTCTCAGGCCAGGTGTGGTGGTGGCCTGTAATCCTAGCACTCTGGGAGGCCAAAGTGGATCCTTTGAGCTCAGGAGTTCCAGACCAGCCTGAGCAAGAGTGAAACCCTGTCTCTATTAAAATTAGAAAAAATTAGGCCAGACGCCGTGGCTAACGCCTGTAATCCCAGCACTCAGGGAGGCCAAGACATGCGGATTGCTCAAGGTCAGGAGTTTGAAACAAGCCTGAGCAAGAGTGAGACTTCATCTCTACTATAAATAGAAAAGAAATTAATTGGCCAACTAATATATATAGAAAAAATTACCCGGGCATGGTGGTGCGTGCCTGTAGTGCCCGAGACTCAGGAGGCTGAGGCAGCAGGATTGCTTGAGCCCAGGAGTTTGAGGTTGCTGTGAGCTAGGCTGATGCCACAGCACTCACTCTAGCCTGGACAACAGAGTGAGACTCTGTCTCAAAAAAAAAAAAAAAAATTAGCTGGGTGCAGTGGTGTGTACCTGTAGTTCCAGCTACTGAGTTAGCCCAAGCAACAGAGTGAGACTGTCTCAAAAAAAAAAAAGTCTCTAAGTCTTGCTCTCGGCAGACTGGTTCAGCCAAACCCAGATGCACGGGGCACTCATTGGACACCATGTCCCTGTCAACTGATGTTGGAGTTGCTCAGGAACCCAGGGAGTCAGTGTTTGCAGCTTTCACACTCTGAGGTGGCTCTGGTTTGCCCACCCAGTAGCTCTCCCACCAGAAAGTATTGGACACCACTAAGAAAAGGGCCAGAAGGCCAGTGACATTTCTGGACTCTTCTCTTCCTCATTCGAAGTCCCAAGGAGGAACATCCAGTACAAATGAGCTGCCCCAGCCCCACTCTGTGAGGCCAGAATGCCCACTGATAACTCACCACCTGTGCTGTGGCATGCCCAACTGCATTGTTTAGAAGAGTAATGCTGAAAACATGGCAGTGGTGAATCTGGCAGTGGTTGGCTGTGTTGAGAGACTGCAGCCCCTCTAAGTCTTGCCTTTTAGGTGTGGGATGAGACTGTTTTAGTTTTGTTAGGGACTTTAGTTGTTTTAAGGAAATGTATAGGTTTGGGTTGGTTTGCTAGCTCCTTTTTGAAGCCAGATGAAATGCTGGCTTATTTCAGGGTGTCTGGGTGTATTAATGCAAAGTGATACGGTTCATAGGCCAGCCATAGATAGTATTTCATAAATGCTTGTTGGACCAATTTATTTATTCAACAGATATTTACTGAGCATTTCCTATATGAAGCAGGCACTGTTGTAGGTGCTTGAAATGCATCAGTGAGCAAAAGGGACAAAAGATTTAGTGGAGTTTATGTTCTAATAACTTAAAGTGTGTTATGTGATAAGTGCTATGGTAAAGAGAGAAAATAGAGCAAGACAAAGGAATCAGCAGTGGGAGGGAGGATTGGGTCACAAATATTTTTTAAGCATTTTCTTTTTTTTGAGACAGAGTCTCACTTTGTTGCCCGGGCTAGAGTGAGTGCCGTGGCATCAGCCTGGCTCAGCAACCTCAAACTCCTGGGCTCAAGCGATCCTTCTGCCTCAGACTCCCGAGTAGCTGGGACTACAGGCATGCACCACTATGCCTGGCTAATGTTTTCTCTATATATTAGTTGGCCAATTAATTTCTTTCTGTTTATAGTAGAGACAGGGTCTCGCTCTTGCTCAGGTTGGTTTCGAACTCCTGAGCTCCTCGTCCGCCCGGCATCGGCCTCCCAGAGAGCTAGGATTACAGGCGTGAGCCACCACGCCCGGCCTGGGTCACAAATTTAAATTAGCATATTTTGGTTTGTGATTTGGTTGGTAACATGACAGATGAAGCAGTGGACTGAATTATAGGTTCTGGGTCCCAGTTCTGCCAGCTTGCCATGTGACTTTGGGCAAGAGCCTTCCCTTCTCTGAGCCTCCTTCTCCATCACAATCCCTGTTCTACCATTTACTGGCTATATGACACTTGATGTTAAGCTATCTCACCCTCAGCTGCCGGTGTTTTGGGGGTATTTGATCTGAACTTTTTAATTACTACTTTACAAAAGCATGTATGTGTTGTTTATACTGAGCTCAAGTCCTGATAATGGAACATATTACAGTGATGAAAAAAGCTAAGCTCTTGGTGTTTTTGTTTTTGTTTTGTTTTTGAGACAGGGTCTTACTCTCTTGCCCAGGCTGAAGTGCAGTGGTGCAGTTATAACTCACTGTCACCTCAAACTCTTGGGCTCAAGTGATCCTCCTGTCTCAGCCTCCCAGAGTGCTAGGATTACAGGCATGAGCCACTGTGCCTGGCCAAGACATGAATATTGACAACAAATATTGAAAGACATAGAAAAATTGACAATTCTCTTTGATTCCAGTGAGCAGTAATGGATCAACACATAGAAATTTCAGGAAAGACAATTTCCATTTATTATAAAGACTGGCTTGAAACAACCAGAGCTACCCTCTGGGAAAAGTGTGATTTTTATCATCAATTACTGTGCTCAAAACTGGATTTGGACAACTGATAGGACTTTTACAGAGCAGAGTCATTCCTCATGAGGAAGATGAATTATTGAAGATTGCATTGTAGGAGTTGCAGATCATGATACTTGAAAAGGGAGTATCTGATTTCAGGCCGTAGAACTTATGATTTTCCTGGCCCTTAGTTTCCGTATCTGTGAGTTTAGATTATTCCCGTTTCTAGGTCTGAACATCAATTTCTGCTTCTACTTACATCCCACAGAGTGTGAGGCTTCTTGTGACCTGAGCTAGTCACTGCTGCCAGCCTAGGGTAGCCCCAAATCCATGTCCTCCCCAATTAAGTGGCTCTTGTGGAGCCCAGAGCAGAGGCAGTATCAGGCTTTGGGCTCACATAGATACTATTCTAAACTAAAGGAATTTAAGTTGAGCAGAAAAATGCTGTGTGAAGAATGACTCAGAAGAGGCTTTTGTGAGCAGGTGTCCCTTGGAGTGTGGGTGTTTGGATCTGGGAGGTGAAGATCGTCCCCATGCCAGGCTGACTGGGGCTGTTTGGGACGTTGTAGAGCTGACAGGTCTGAGCACTGACTTTAGGGCATGGAGTCGTGGGTTTGAGTTCTAGTTTGTAGCTCAGTAGCTGGGTGACCTCAGCAAGTTATTTCACTTCTGAGCCTCAGTTTCTCCATCTTTAGTGATGGAGATGGATTTGGCTTGGGATGTTGCTGCCTTCCAGGGTGGTTGTAGGGCTCCAGTGAGGTCACAAGTGAGAGCTCAAGACTGAGCTGTTGGTGTCAGTTCCAGTACTCGGGCCATTGAAGCAGGTGGCAAGTGGGTAAGGCCTGGGCAGATGAGACTTGGAGTATGTGGGAAGCAAGGCTTGGCCAAGCTTGGAGGAGGCCTGAGGGTTCTGCCTTGGGAGTCAGAAGGATGGTGGACTCTTAGAGAGTTGAGACTGGGTGAAGCGAAGGGGTGAGGTATGCTTGTGACTTAGAGAGAATGGAGAGAAAGGGCATGTGTTCTCAGGGGCACTGGGGAGCATGCAGGGGTGTAGGGACGTGTGTGTGGAGAGCAGGATGGCTGATGTGGTGAGGATCTGCATGGGCAGGGCTGGTGGGCATCCTTGTGTGGGTGGAAGGCTCAGCAGCGTCCCCTTCACTATCCTGAGGGACTGGTCCTCCCTGGGAGGAGGAGGATGTAGCCAGAACCTCCTGGAAAGTGATGAGTAATGGCACGTGCAGCAGCCAGGCGAAGGTGCCTGCAGGCCTGCCCCTTCTCAGGTCCTGCCCTCAGCTTTGCCCCTGTGGGGTGGCCCAGGGAGAGAAG